AAAAATTACGGACACCACGCTTCGAAGGCGTCGGTTCCGTCTTCAACAGGGATCTCGATCTTTTGGCAGCAAAACGACGATTATTAAGAGAAAAAAAGAAGAAACGAAAGGCAACAATGGCAGTATTTGGTCTTGGGAAAGTGATAGAAGAGACTTTCAAAAGTATAAATGTGAAAGGATGATCTTTATGCCACGGTTTAAGCGGACATGAGCGACGAGGCGCTGAAGTACTGAAGGGGCGGAGGGAAGAGAATGCAGGGGGTAATAGGGTAAAAGAAATAATTGTTATGAAAGAATACGACCATAATATATTACCACACGGGTTAAACTAATCCAGGGCAAGAACATGGTTTCCAACTTCTGGAACTCAAGAAAATAAAATAAAGAAAAAAAATGAAAAAGGGCCTTTTTATCTGAACGTATATGCACGCCAATGTTTGGCATACCCCAAGAAAACAAATAGACATAAAAAAAAATCTAAAATTAAATGGCGCAAATACAGATTCAAATAAAAGTTTTTTTTTTCTTAAAGTGAAAATACTGGTGATTTTAAATCTACCTTGGAAACTACTTCGACAGATCAAGTGGATATGCAGCCATATCCAAGCCCTAGTTGTTACAAGGGGAACAGACTTGGTATAACCATATCCCTCAGAGGAGTAGTTACCAAGGAAGTGGACATTGCAATCACCAGTGACAACCTCCAAGCCCTTCCATAGCGGTTCGCCTCAACATACCTGGAACACTGGTACCCAAAGCCACGAAGGCAATGGCAGTCACCGAGTCCTTCAGACCGATAGAACAGCCGAAGTGAGAGGCAAAGTCACCGATAAAGGCAGTAAGAAGACCAATGCCCAAAATAGAGATTATAAACGTTGGGTAACCCTTGGCGATGTCTGTTGGGTGGGAGTGATTGTGGAGAGAGAGAAGAAAAAAAAGATATTCAGATGCAATTCATGGCGAGGTGAGTCGAGGTCTAGGGTGTTACAGCACACAATTTTGACGATTGTTAGACACTGATTGGCTAAGATTCTGATGCTCTGTGCCTCAGAATTGTGTTCCTCTTTTAGCATGATCTGTAAACCTACAGGAATGATTAAGAGCAGAAAGGCCAAATTTGAGAAACCATCAAAGGTGAAATTGGAAGGTCTTTGTCCAACTATTTACACGTCAATGATAATTCTGACAAACGGATTAAGAAAAAAAAATAATAATCAGAAGATCCCTGAATATTATCACCGATCTTTTAATTCTAAGATGAACACGCTTGGAAATAAAGACAAAACTCAAACAGAATAAGAGGTTTCACCAACAGCAGAAAACAAGCATGAGAAGTGAATGGATCTAGAAGCTAAATAGATTGATAAAATTTTTTCACATGACCTAAAAGAGGAATGCAGATCATCCAATATGGTTGCTGAGCTAAAAGTTAGAGAATGCTGAAGCTGATTAAAACTACATGAAAAATTGATTTTATCTCAAAAGCTGATTAAAAGATATTACATGCATATTACAATAAAAAAAAAAATCTAATAAACTGTTCACAGACTGTATGAATATACATACAACAAAATTACAGAAGGTGAAATGTGTAATTATGTAGTCATTCATATTCACCACAATACTTAGGCGTATGTGAACGTGTGTGTATGTATGCATTGTTTGTATCTACGTATATATGTATATGTGTAATGCTATTGTTTCTGTATCTGACCGTGTCTACAAATACAATATAAATGTACATATTATCACCCTGTTAGATAGCAACATAGATTTTGTAACAAGACACGTCTACAACATTAGAAATAATAGCTATTATGAATACAGATTCTGAACATACTGATCCATGGTAGGATGTAACATACAGGAATTATTAAAAGCAACACTACAGTACGGTACACGATAATGTGTGTACATAAAAAAGCATTCGTTACTGTCACTCAACTCTGTGTACATGGCCACCGGAGAATAAGGAAATACTCTTTCATGTATTATGTACAATATGAAAATAAAGGAAAATCTATCTGTAAACTTGTGATCTGTGGAGTAAAGAAAAAAATAAATATCTCTGGTGTGATTAGAATTATAAAATATCTGTCAAAAAGAGTTTGTTTCATCGGCAGTGAATCGTGATTTTAAAACAGATTCGGTTAATTTTTTCTTTAATAGTGTGTGTGTGTGTGTGTGTGTGTGTGTGTGTTGTGTGTGTGTGTGTGTGTGTGTGTGTGTGTGTGTGTGTGTGTGTGTGTGTGTGTGTGTTGTGTGTTGTGTGTGTGTGTGTGTGTGTGTGTGTGTGTGTGTGTGTGTGTGTGTGTGTGTGTGTGTGTGTGTGTGATGTGTGTGTGTGTGTGTGGTGTGTGTGTGTGTGTGTGTGTGTGTGTGTGTGTGTGTGTGTGTGTGTGTGTGTGTGTGTGTGTGTGTGTGTGTGTGTGTGTGTGTGTGTGTGTGGTGTGTGTGTGTGTGTGTGTGTGTGTGTGTGTGTGTGTGTGTGTGTGTGTGTGTGTGTGTGTGTGTGTGTGTGTGTGTGTGTGTGTGTGTGTGTGTGTGTGTGTGTGTGTGTGTGTGTGTGGTGTGTGTGTGTGTGTGTGTGTGTGTGTGTGTGTGTGTGTGTGTGTGTGTGTGTGTGTGTGTGTGTGTGTGTGTGTGTGTGTGTGTGTGTGTGTGTGTGTGTGTGTTGTGTGTGTGTGTGTGTGTGTGTGTGTGTGTGTGTGTGTGTGTGTGTGTGTGTGTGTGTGTGTGTGTGTGTGTGTGTGTGTGTTGTGTTGTGTGTGTGTGTGTGTATGTGTGTGTGTGTGTGTATGGCTGTGTGTAAATACATATATAAATATAAACGTGTATATATATATAATGTATATGTTTTTGTATGTGTGTAGCATATATATATACACATTTCTAGTGCCTGGAAACTAACTCTGTTTTGACTTGATACAAAGACAGAAAAATAAAATACAAATTACGAGCAACAAGTACAAGAAAAAACATCGAAACCACTCCTTAGAATCTATAATAAACCAGTCAAATAGCAAAATGGAAAGGTGAAATCTAAAAGAAATTTTATGATATCAAAATTCTTCTAAGCTGTTTCTAGAATGAAAAAGTATATAAGCAGAAAAAATATGATTCTGGGATATTCAGGAGAAAAAAAGATATATATATATAATTTTCAAAACTAGTAGTAACCTTTTGTTTTCTATAAAATCATATGTTGACTGAACCCATTTTTCTAATGGGTTTTGAGTGTGTGGGGTTTCTCAAAATTTGTTTGATTTAAGTACCTACGATTTCCTGTTTCTAGGCTTTTGTTTTAGATTTAATAAAGATTTAATTCCCTAGTTCTGATTATTACAATTTACGACTACCATGAATATTTTCCGAAACCGTATTTTTAAAAATAAGTATATAAATACACAAAAACTGGACATCAAATTAATAAATATGTACACCCATAGATGTAGGAAAATACAGTATGATGAAAAAGCCACTTTAATCCTAATTTTGTAAGGTCCAATATTTTTTTTTCCAGAGCAATATGTTACTTTTATAAAGTCTCAGGTAATTTTATTCTTCGGAATATTGATTGGAATTTATTTTAAGTATTCTTTCATTTCCTAAGTCTCCTTAGTTTTCGGGAAGAAACATTCTGAAGGAAATTCATTCTTGACCTTTTTGCAAGATTAAAGAACTTAATATAATATTGAAGAAATTCCAAGGTGGAAGTCATCTAGGAATTGCAAAATCATGAAAAGAGCAGAGCAAAGTTTGTATTTATAAGAAATATATCAAAAGCTTAAATACGCAGAACGAAAAAGAGTGTAAAAATACCACAGCAATTGGATAAATTCAACTTTCAATAAATCATATCTTTTTCATATCCTATCATAAACCTTATTTGGGGGCAAATACATTGGAATTTAATTAAATTGTGCATTAAACATATTTGAGAAAAAAAGATTTCTCTTGATCTTTTATTGAAGTATATTTTATTTATACACCAAACCGACTTGAACGAATATGAAAGAAAACGAAGGAGCGAGACTGGGATATATATATATATATATATATATATATATATATATATATATATATATATATATATATATATATATATATAAAATTTCCAATTGGTATATGTTTTACGTTAACAGAGCATCATTTGTCACTTATTACTTCTATTTTCATAGATATATATAATTTTAACTTTAAGGGGACCTTCTGCTGATTTTTCGGCGATTTTCGCCCTCTTGCCGAAAATTGACTTTAATGCAGTTGCAAGTAGTTTCTAGTCCCCCCTTCTCCCTGAAAATGTCAAGGCTCGACCGTTATTTTTTAGGTGGTAGCAGCGATTTTTGATGTCGACCGAAATATTATTTTTTTGATGGTACCTTTGAAAATCGGCAATTGTGACGCAATGATTAGAGATAATAAAAATATGAGGTTATTTTCTGAAAGCTTATCAAATTTCACATAAGATGAGACCAACCTTCTTTTTTTCGGAATAATTTCAAAAATCCGGCAAGCGTCCAAAAAACGGCAATGAAGAAATTTTCCATAGAAATAACTAAACATGATATGTTTTTCATATAGTGTATTTTCTTATCTTTATGTTTTCATCATACATAGTTACTTTGATCTATGAGCAAAAAATTTCGAAAATGCAAACCTCCCCCCCACCCATGGGGGGTAGTTTTGCCAAATATTCAGGATCACCCCAAAATTATATAATTTAATTAGGCTATTCAGGTTAAAATTTTATTCAAATCTATTCATAACTTTTCGAGTTAGAAAAAAAAATTCCTGGATCCAAACCATAGTCCGCATCACCAACAAACTGCAATAAGCTCTAAGTTAGGTTAAAACTCACTTTTGGTTAAAATCTCGTTAAAATGTGTTCATAACTTTTAGAAATATTAGAAAACACAAACTAATAATCAAAAAAACACAAATAAACAATCAATAAACAAACAAAGAAACAAACGGTAGTAACAATATAAATAAACAAAAGGTCATGGGGTACACGAAAATTATCTATATGTGCTCATATACCTTATATACATAGTTTCACATCGCCATGTAATTGTTTTTCGACTTTCCACGGGGTCTGAGAGTGAAATTTGGCTAAGTGACCCCGTAGAGTTATTCCGCAGATTTAAAAAGACGATTTTCACGGTCCAGGACGGCCCGTCGCGTGGGGAAAAGTATGTGTTTGGTACCCGTCCGACTGGAGAAAAGTTATTCTTTCGACAAATATCATACGTTGTAAAACCTCATTAGAGCATCAATAATAGGTATATGATAGATAATTATATCAAATACAAGTATTCTGTACATGATTTGTCATGTAAAATGTAAACATAATAAAAAGGGAATAAGATCGCATTTTTTAGGTCCGTCATATTTTTACGCATAGCACACGTATAATCGGGTCCGATTTTAAAGTATTATGGCTCATTTTGTAGCTGAATAATAGTTCTATTACATACTGCCATGAGGATTTGCAATATTTTCACGTGGTTCTTGTAAAAGTGACATATGTTTCCAAAATCTCCTATTAGGGTGTTAAAATAGTCACCTTCGGAAATATTCACCAAGAAAAAAGTAAGGTCAACTTCTCAAAAATTCTTCTGCATATAATAGTAGAAAGATAGTTCTATTCAAACATGAAATCAGAATGGCTGTATGATTTTCTTTGGATTTTTGAGAAATTTTTAAAAAATGGTCAATGTAGGCCTATAGACCCCATATATCACTGCCACACATCGCCTATACGTAAGATTTTGAGAAACCGTTACGTGCTGGCAATGTCCGCAAGACTTCGGAATGCAGGTAGATGATAGAGGATTATGGTGTAGGAAGACTAATCTTATGCTTGTTTTGTTGATATCAAGATAGCTTGGAAAGATAGAGAAAACGCAAAATGCCGATATCTCGGAACTCCCATTAGGGGTGGGTCAAAGGATTCCGGGCACACCATATGTCCAAAATTAACATATTATGGCTCATTTTGTAGAAAATAAAAATATCTACAACGTGATCGAGAGCGTTTTCGCAGTTTTTGCCTGTACTTCTTGTAAAAGTGGTCAATGTAGTAGAAAATTTTTACCTTTTTTTTTTTTTCTTGAAGTACCCAACTTCAAAAATTCACAAAAAAAAATTGAAGTCGAAATCGAAAAAACGCTCTCGATCAAGTTGTAGATATAAGGTAGTTCTCTGTGCAAAAAATCAAATAAAATTGAATGTCTTGCCGTTTCTGAAGTCTGAATCCTTTGACCCAGGTGCTGCATTTTCAAAATGGCGAATTTCGCATTTTTCGTTTTTTTGACAATAATTCAAAAATGTTCGGGCGATTTCGAAAAAAATCGACCACAGGCAATGGGAAGGGGCCCAAATAAAAGGTGTGTGAGTTTCATCAAAATCGGCAAGATAAATCGAAAAATCGAAAAAAAAAGCAGACGGTCCCCTTAAACATAGCACCAAATTCACGTAATACTTTTTTCTCTAAATAAACTACTTTCACGTAATTATATATATTTTTATTTTAATTACTATTATCTTAAAATGACGCAATTTTCATGTACCATTTCTTTTACTTTAATTGACCAAAATTCAAACTAAACCAAATTTCACGTAATATATATTTATAGCTTATTTAAAATGACTATTACCTAAAATGACGCAATTCATGTATTTTTTTATGTTTCTTTGTTCTTTTACTTTAATGATCTCAAAATAAACCAAAATTTCACGTACTTAATTGACCTCTTAAAGAGGAAACCAAAATTTCACGTTACTTAATTGACCATCCTTAAAGGGAACCAAAATTTTACTTAATTGACCATCTTAAAGAGGAACCCAAATTTCACGTAGAGGAAACCAAAATTTCACAGTACTTAATTGACCATCTTAAAGAGGAAACCAAAATTTCACGTAGTACTTAATTGACCATCTTAAAAGGAGTATAATTGACCAACTTAAAGGAAACCAAAATTTCAGTACTTTTAATGACCATCTAAAGAGGAAACCAAAATTCACGTACTTAATTGACCATCTAAAGAGGAAACCAAAATTTCACGTAGTACTTAATTGACCATCTAAATAGGGAACCAAAACTCCTTTAGTACTTACTTGACCATCTACCAAAATTTCCACGTACTTAATTGACCATCTTAAAGGAACCAAAATTAGTACTTAATACCATCTTAAAGACAAAACCGAGGCGGTCTTACCCGTGGGAGGAATAAAGGCAAAGAGAATCTTCCAGAAGACGGTGACAAAATGCATGACGTAATCCATACAGCTGGGCAGCTTCTCTCTTTCTTCTTCTCTCCCTTCATCTTCATCGCCTACGAGAACAGGGGAGAATTAGTATATAAGAAAGAGAGAGGAGAGGGAGGGAGGGAGAAGGGACGAGAGAGAAGGAAATGGGAAGAGAGAGAAGGAGAGAAAGAAGGTCATGGAGAGAGAGAGAGAGAGAGAGAGAGAGAGAGAGAGAGAGAGAGAGAGAGAGAGAGAGAGAGAGAGAGAGAGAGAGAGAGAGAGAGAATATTAAAATTAAAATTAGCGAGACTTGGGACTAGACACTTTCCCGTTCAGATGCGATTTTGTTTTTTTATGATTATTGTTGGTTAAAATTTAGTTATATATTTAGCAACATAGAAATCTGGCTAACATATTAAATAATAAATTACAGAAATTGCGAAGCTACAGTGAGACAGAGATTACAAAATGGAGACAAGTTAAGAATTATACTACGTTACAAGTTATCATACACCATTGTACTAAGATAAGCTCAATTAATTATTAATATTTTAACTTTCTTGAATGATATATCAAATAACTTTAATACTTAAACTATGAAATTAAAAGTCAGGCATCACACTCAAGTTGCAACATCTAAGCTATATTAAAAGAACAAATTATATAGAAACGTGAAAAATGTAGAGAAAAATGATACTCCAAATATAGCAGAATATCATACGAGAAAAAATAAAATAAAATAATATAGCAACTGTGGTCACCACTCTCACTTGTGGTGATTCTAAACCAAAAAGAAAAAGAAAAAAAGAGAATAAAGCTGCATTGATATGGTGCAGTTATTTTTTATAAGTTAAATGTGTCTGTTTTGTTATAACAGATAACAAAACTACTTCAAAAAGGAACACATAAGATCTGCAAGGTAAAAAAATAGTCAAAAATCATAAAGATAAAATAAAAAAATCTGAGTTAGACAAAGACATAGAGAAAGAAAATAAAAAGGAAAATAGTCATAGAAGTTTGGACTATACTTTGATACACACGAATCATTCTCTAATACACCTCGAGGTGCTTCTCAGGAATACCTACCATAGTTGAATGCAGGAAGGTGGTAGCGTGAAAGGGGGGAGGAGAAAATAACTAAAAATTTACCACTCTAGTCAGGGCAGACACTATGCAACGACTGTGCAATATATATTTTTGCAAAGCTTATGTACAGAGCATATGCATGATTTCATGTTTGAAATTTGTATCAGTGAGAATATGACACCATTATTAATTTTGTATAGTCATCAGAGATCATATTGCATACATATATACATTAACAATTATCTAATCCAATTTTTGGCAAGAATCATTTAGTTAACAAAGTAATATATATATATATATATATATATATATATATATATATATATATGGATACCGGTAGCTATATATATTACTAATTCTGCCGACAGAAAGCCGAATTAGTTGACCAAATGAATCTCGCCAAAGACTATGATAATGTTAGGCAACTGTGCATATTTTAGTGACTAATTTGACTGTCATATGAGTTATCTTTATAATAATAAAAAAGGAACTCACTAAGGTGAAAAAGTAAACTAACGAACTACTTCTACTTGTAAAATGAAATCTTTTAAAATGGAAATTTCAAAATCTAACAAAATTTTCAATTAAACATTTATTCGAGAACCCAAAAGTCACGGGAAATATCCTGTGACATGAATTTTTTGGTCTAATTCACAAAAAAAGGTAGACTAACAAAGACTGATAATATTGGTTTTATAATCACTGTTACCCAATTGCCACCTACCATTTGGAGGCGACACCGAAGCAGGGAAAGGCAAGGGAAGGAATTGCATAGTTAGCATATTTAGGTGGAAATCGTGTCAACGGAACACCTCAGAAATGGCCAGAAAATATGTATACACAGAAGATGAATAAATGAAAACAGATAATCATTCTATTTTTTTTTAAAGACATCATTTAGAATAATTTTATAAGAGTATGAAATCTGCATACTGATTTTGACAAGAACTTCTCTTAGAGTAAAACTCAACGAGAGAAGCACCCACCTTACTCTAAGGATCAGGCACAAGGTTACAGTAACACATCAGGAAGCCGCAATAGGTAACTGAACAGAACCAACATTGTTAAGGATTCCTGGCCACATTACACTAATATAAGACTATTCTTGGAACTTGGCAACCCACTTCGTTTCGTCACATGAAAGGTCGTGATGCTGTCTGGCTGCGCTCGTCCATTGTGATGAAACCGGGAGGGAATCATTGAATGTGTTGAAGAGATGTTTTTTTATGGCTCGGGTAAAAGTTTTGATTCACGTTGTATAGGCTGCCATTGGCATAGTATGGAATTTCCGTCGATTTTATATTGTAAGTTCTTCAAGAAGCATACTAAAAGAGCCATCGATCTGTTACCACTTAGAAGTATGACTCTGTACAAATTTTTTTTTTTTTAAAATCTAATAATCTATGCTATGGATGCTGACATATTACAAGAATCCAATTGTTACATAATGCACATAAAGCTAGCATGATCTCAGATAAATGAAATCAAGAACTTTGAGTAGATTCAATTCTTTTATTTCAGTTCTACTTAATTTTTTTATTAATTTAATTTAGACAGTTTTAACAATAAAAAAAACGGGTGAAAATGAATGAACGAAGGCGCTAGACCACGAAGACAGCATATTCACGTAAATGAGATGGCAGGGTAGTGATTACTAAAGGAAAATACTCATTATCATTGCATATTTTTGCGGCTATGAGGGCCATTCAGTAATCCTTAAGATACAGACAAAATAACAATATCATTAGAGTTGAATACATAAGTTTTATGACTGATCTTATGGACCTAAAATCATTGTTGAATTACTTGAAAGAGCAACTCCATTACCATGCATGGATTCTTGAGATCAAAGACGAGAGAAAGACTACTTCCCTATCACAAATATAAATTCCCTCCACCACAGAATAAATCCCTCTACGAGATAGTAATAATGGTCAAAGGAGATAACTGGAACCTCCAGCACTTACCAGGTTGGACTGTGATGCTTCACTGAACTGTTCCTTCCAAGAGGAGGTACCAACAAGGAGGGATGCGTTGGCCTTCTTCACCAACTTGTCAACCATGTTCTGTCAAGGGAGGGGGGAAGGTTACTACACAGCCTCACCAAACTACCTAATGCACAGCCCATCAGATTACCACATGGCCACCAGTAATTCAGATTTACAGATTTGTATGCCGGTACTCTCCAGTCAAGGTGTTACAGTACCTCTGTTCCTTGGGTCTACGTTTTGGTTGTTTTCGTTGTCTTCATTCCAATTTCAAAAGCCACTATTAGCATCTCAACTACTGGGTCTTCGATGCCAAGTTATTTCAACAATTTACAGCAATACTCAAGAAAGATTTGGTGAATATTGACGCAAACTGAGACGGTTATAAAAGCATTTTTTCTCGAAGCAGATACCATTAGCCAGACTATTGTGAATCCAGCTAATACACCTCGACTTAGAGCCAAATTTATTAAGAAGCATTTCAGTTACTGGAATAGCATTTTCAGCCCATCGAAGGGATACCCAAAAAATCGGCATTACTAATGCAGCATTCTTTATTTTTTCTTTTACCAATTACCTTCATTGCCTTCCGACAAGCAACAAAAGCGGGTCCAGAGAGCTCATTTGGTTAGTGCAGTGCCACAGATTATCTATGGGTGAAACTATGTCTAGCCAATGCTTTAGGAATTTTGTTTGGGAGTCCTTACAACACGTGACTGAAACGACCCGATAAATTGATGGTTGGCCACAGATAAAGACTATATTTGACTGTTTCATACATACCTGTATACACAACAAATGGCAATAAAATCTGTAATTTCAACTTCATTTTCACTCGCAAAAGAAACAATTGAGACAACAGGAAAAATATCCTAAAAAGAACATTCCTTGGAGGTAGTTACTGCCTGGCCCAACATGGTACCGTATTGAGAATCTAAAAGTGGATGCGCATTTCCCACCAAATGGAAATGTCATTAACATATCACTATAGATCTCCAGTGAATTATATGTAGACACTGTAGATAATAGGAGTAAAAAATATGATGTAAATCCCTACTATAGAATCAGACGAAGAGGTCGCAAAGGGAGTGATTCCCGAAAACATCGCCTCCAAAGATTAATCATATTTTGATTAAATTTCCCGCTGATCTCTTTTCTCGTGTCTTCAGCAAGCCAATTTGATTAACGAAAAACGAAGCTTTTTTCTCTTCTTGCTCACTTTTACCGAATGGATAATGTAAACACGGTATTTAACTCAGAGAGTAAGTGGAATTTGGAAAGTAAATCTTCAGTGCTGGAATCTTTGAAAAATCTGAACCTAGGTCAAGGAAACCCTATACTATGACCACTCCTCGAGGCTTTTTTTCAGCTGTTGCCTTATGCCCCTTGGCAGTGGTCTGAGATTTGCTTAACGAAGCTGTAATCTGTAACCTAATCTGGTATGAGAGGAACTGAGACCATTGGCGAAATTTAAATTCCTGTGCCATTAACAAACCAGGATTTGGTTTGATATCACGACGAATTGCGAAGAAATTTTTTTTTTTTAGATGAATGATAATCGCACACGTCTATACTTACCATTTTCGTCTTCATCAAGTAAATGGATAAACTGATTTTTTTAAAATGATAATAGCGATAACTGCTAAATCCATCTACATTAATACAGATCAAAGTCTAAAATCCTGAAGCCCTGAAATTCTGGAATCTTCATCTCCGTCAAAAGACACGTATATTGTGGAATTCACTGAGGCGATTCCCTCCGTGACTCAGTACAAACCACCAAGGAAACGCTTCTCGAAACACGCATCATCCATTTATCATCCACTTAGATAATATACAACGAAATCCAGGTGATAATTCCTCGCACAAAACACCTGCAAACGACACTTCTCATTCCCTCTTTCTCCCTCGATTCCGTGATAATTCCTCGCACCAACACCCGCCAACGACAACACTTCTCCTTCCCTCCTTTCTCCCTCGATTCCCTCTTCGGGCAAAACCGCTGAACCAAATGAGCTCTCCCGGACAAGCGGATGTGGGCAGTGACCTCGCAGGCAAAACAGAAGCCCTCTACAAAGAGAATTGATCTGGTCATTGGGTTACCGGGAGCTCCGCATCGCACAGAAACTCTCGAAAAATGCTGTCGAGGACGGTCTGGAATGGGGGCAGAGACGGGCGGTGAAAGCCAGGGAAACCGCTAGAGGGCCAACAGCATGGGTACTTTGTGGACTTGCTACGTGTAGGGTGTGTCATGGATATTCTAGGTTTTTTTTTTTTTATATTGAACCCGTATCCATGTTGACAGATGTAGAAAAAGGTATGAATGAGACTGGATATCTTCACAATACAAGAGATATATTTTATACTAATAATTGATAAAAAAGATTGATGATATTAATGATGGCATGCTAATAATAATGATAATGATATTAATAATTGATTGATAATAATAATGATTGATGATAATGATGCTTATGCTAATAATAATGATTGATAATGATAATAATGATGATTATGCTAAGAATAATGATGATTATGCTAAGAATAATGATTGATGGAATTAATGATTATGATATAGGTTGTGAGGATTATGTGATAACTATATTGATTATGATGATATGAAAATCACTTAAATAATTAATAGTATTGATGGAGATAATAATAATAGCAATGTGCATAATGATAATGGTGATGATAGACAAATAATAATGAAATCACTAAACAGCAACGCTAACAATATGACTAAATATAATCCCAGTGACGGTAAGAATGAGGATAATAAAATCTTTATAGTATGTGCAGATATGATCATGAATACCTTTCACAAAGATATTTTTCCACCACTAATTTTCAGTGCACGGAACTGTAGTGCTACTGTTACTATTATGCTGGTTGATAAAAAAAAAAAAGTATATATATATATATATAATATATATATATATATATATATATATATATATATATATATATATATATATATATATTATTATATATATATATATATATATATATTACACCTGTATTCTGACTTGGGGGAAATATACCGGCACAGAAATGCATTTTTCCAAATATCTGAATAACTTTATTAATGTCTATCTTCTTAAGAGAACTTTGATTAATTAATAAAACTACTGTTATATCTTGCGCGCATTTTACATTGAGTTTATCTCGTAGTTCTTATTTATTGTTGTTATAAAAATATTGTGTTTCTGTGTGCGTCTATTTACTATTTACTGCTTTAGATAATTTCTAATTTTTGTGAATACAAAAAGAAAAAAAAAATATAGACATATTTTCTGAAAGAGAACTGCATTTCATTTGTAATTTCAATGGTAAATAAGAATTTCAATGAGAATTCAGTACTCTGTGGTTTAAAAATATGTTTCAAAAATTTATTCAACGAAACTATTAGGAAAATGTCTTTTTGGAGATTTTTTTATCAGATATTTCAAGTATACTACGAGAAATAATAGAAAATCAGTAATTATTTATTTAATTAATCAAAGTTCTCTTAAGAAAATAGCGTAATAAGATATATTTAGTATTTGGAAAAATGCATTTCTGTGCCGGTATATTTCCCCCCAAGTCAGAATTACAGTTGAATATATATATATATATATATATATATATATATATATATATATATATATATATATATATATATATATATATATATATATATATATATATTATATATATATATTTTTTTTTTTTTATCAACCAGCATAATAGTAACAGTAGCACTACAGTTCCGTGCATGAAAATTAGTGGTGGAAAAATATCTTTGTGAAAGGTATTCATGATTATATCTGCACATACTATAAAGATTTATTATCCTCATTCTTACCGTCACTGGGATTATATTTTAGTCATATGTTAGCATTGCTGTTTAGTGATTTCATTATTATTAGTCTATCATCACCATTATCATTATGCCATTGCTATTATTATTATGACCATCAATACTATTAATTATTTAAGTGATTTTCATATCATTATAATCAATATAGTTATCACATAATCCTCACAACCATTATTATCATAATCCTATAATTTCCATCATCAATCATTATTCTTAGCATAATCATCATTATATCATCATCAATCATTATTATTAATAAGCATCATTATCATCATCATTTTATTATCATCAATTATTATTAATATTTATCATTATTATTAGCATATTAATATCATCAATCTTATTATTATCAATTATTAGTATAAATATCTCTCTGTATTGTGAAGATATCCAGTCTCATTCATACCTTTTTCTACATTTTTCAACATGGATACGGTCATAAATATGTAAAAAAAAAAACAACTAGATAATATCCATGACACACCCTACACGTAGCAAGTCCACAAAGTACCCCATGCTGTTGGCCCTCTAGCGGTTCCCCTGGCTTTCACCGCCCCGTCTCTGCCCCCATTCCAGACCGTCCTCGACAGCATTTTCCGAGAGTTTCTGTGCGATGCGGAGCTCCCGGTAACCCAATGACCAGATCAATTCTCTTTGTAGAGGGCTTCTGTTTTGCCTGCGAGATCACTGCCCACATCCGCTTGTCCGGGAGAGCTCATTTGGTTCAGCGGTTTTGGAAGAGGGAATCGAGGGAGAAAGGAGGAAGGAAGTGTTGTCGTTGGCGGTGTTTGGTGCGAGGAATTATCACGGAATCGAGGAGAAAGGAGGGAATGAGAAGTGTCGTTTGCAGGTTTTGTGGGAGGAATTATCACCTGGATTTCGTTGTATATTTATCTAAGTGGATGATAATGGATGATGCGTGTTTCGAGAAGCGTTTCCTTGGTGGTTTGTACTGAGTCACGGAGGGAATCGCCTCAGTGAATTCCACAATATACGTGTCTTTTGACGGAGATGAAGATTCCAGAATTTCAGGGCTTCAGGATTTTAGATTTTGATCTGTATTAATGTAGATGGATTTATGCAGTCATCGTATTATCATTTTTAAAAAATCAGTTTATCCATTTACTTGATGAAGACGAAAATGGTAAGTATAGACGTGTGCGATTATCATTCATCTAAAAAAAAAATCTTCCGTAATTCTTCGTGATATCAA